GTCCTCTACATTTGTAGTTTTTCTACAACAGGCAGTTGCTATCCATTTGAAACTTAGATTCAACACTTGCATAATTGTTACTGTGCACAAAATATATGTTTGAAAATGTTTATCGATTTCTTTGCAAATTAAACTAGCAAATGTTACAAAATAACAAAATACTTACTCTAAAGATATTTTTGAGTTTCAAATTGTTAAAGATAGTTAGAATTACTATTTTTACTTAAATAATCAAATTTCACATGCACTGAAACCTGAAAGGTGCTCACCAGTCATGATGGAGTTAATCCTGTATATCAAAATAAAAATTATGAGACCTTTTTTTTTTAGCAATAACAATTCTTTACTAACCTTCTTAATGAAAATTTAAGGTTAAGTTTTGAAGGTAAAAGTGCACCTACCCAGCTCTTCCTGTTCGTCCCACTCGATGGACATATTCCTCTACGTTTCTCGGAAAGTCATAGTTAAAGATATGGCTGTGCAGTTTGATTACACAAAAAATAAACTCAGGTCAGCAAAAAGAGTGGAATTAAAAATCATACAAAATTGAATTCTAATTATAAATACAAACTAAAATACAGAAATGAATAGGTGTAAAAAAAACAGTATACGGAAGTTTGTTACAACCAATCATTCGTTCCTAGATTTAGGGTAGAGACAAATATGAAGACCATCATTATTAAATACTTTTTTTTTTCAAGTTTTGCATGAATATTTTGATCAAGTATTAATTTTATCTATGCCACCCATTATCCTGCATCTGTTGATTAATATTTTTACAAGTTTTTGTTTTATTCACTTGTTTGGATTACTTTGTTCTTTGCTGTATATTCCTTACTAAGGTCATTATTTTGATATTAAATGAAACCTAATTTATTTTATTTCATGATTACTATGACAGCTTAAAAATACTTAATTTTACTTAAATCTTTTTAATATACATCCATATTAGATCTGAACACATCACAAACCTAGCTTAATGTTTTCCTTATTTTAAAGTTAACTCGTGCCTTTTCATTATAAACTGTTATGATTTAAGTGCTACTGATAGTTCTGTTAAAAATTATCATTTATACAGTTTTCCTAAGACCATAATAAAATTTGTAACAAGACCCACACATGCACGTGTGGGAGGGTATTGTCATGTCTTAATATAATCAATACTAACTGGTTTAAAGTTAGTTTTTTTCTCTCTTATTAAATGGTTTATTTAAACATTTTTATGTGATAACACACATAACACCCCCCACATCATGCTTTTATATAAAACATCCATTAATCTATTAAAGTGAATAGTTTCAATACATTGATGCCACTTTCAACCAATTTTCAAATATCACTCAAATATTCTTCCAAAGTGACATGGAACAGTGATATTAATATGCAAGAATTTTTCAAAGTCAATGCTTTTGTGAATAAAACAAACTACTTGCTACAAACAAAATTTAAAATATTCTTAAACTTTACATATAAAAACATCAAACAACATTGGTCTAACAATATATATCAGTGCCTTGCAAAAGTATTCACCCCCCTACCAATAATTTAAACAATTTTTTTTTTATTGAACTAGTTTTTATTCAAAACTCTAATGATCAAACGTAACATTGCTATTAATGGTTGGAGATGGCTTGAATGGGTAATGAAGAAAAACTTTAATATAAGTTTAACATAACAGCAAATGTACAACGTTTCAACAAGGTTTTGTCATCATCAGGGGTATATATATATATATATATATTTTAAAAAACAAATAAAACTCACGTTATGTCCTTGATGTCAAGGCCTCGAGAAGCTACATCAGTGGCAATTAAAATCTGGACTTCTCCTGTTCTGAGATCTTCCAATGCTTGTTCCCTGTCACTTTGTTCCCTGATCATAAAACAAAAAACAATCTGGAGCATAACAATAAAAACCTCCATAACTGCAATACTTTTATAAACAATTCTGCTAACTAAGAGTAAAATATGTATACGATACTTTAACCCTCTCTGCACTAGCATCCTTTACTGTGCATGTCACGAGGTTTTTAATGACATACATTGAAATTATAATTAGACTACTCTTTGTTTATGTTATAGCAATTAGTACAGCATAAAATTGTAGCTAATAATCTATATTTGAATAGTATAGAAGTTTTGAGTTATTAATTTTATAAGGAATATAAAAAAAAATCCTGAATTTCTCCTTGTGTGAGAAATGTGACATTTTTTCTCTAGGCATCCCCTCTTCTGTAATTTATTCATCACCCATCCAATAAGTATGAAATTTAATGTAAATTTCTCACTATCAAATCGTCATTGCTCAGACAAACAATTTTTTATAGTATTTAATCTTGTTTGGTTACAGAGCCATCATAAAGAAAATCAGATCCCTCTTGCCACACCCACCTGTCAAATCTTCTCTTTCCAGATTTGTTAATAGTTCCCTCTTACATTTAATAATATATTATTTATAACCAATAGAAAGCCAAGGTTTTCATCTATTAAATGAAGTATTATATTATGTCTTCTGAACAGAGAATTGTTAATTTCTCTTTAATTACAAACTTCGTTCCCAAGGGAAACATATCTTGAATGAATTTGAAACAGCACTTGTCACATAGTTATAAAGCCAGGAAAATTGTTTGCTTTTTGCATGTTATTATTGTATATTCTTTGGTGCATTATTTAAATAAATAAAAATTATTTATTACAATATCACCATTAGTATAAAAAAGTAGGTTTAAATGTCATTGACAGCAAAAAAAAAAAGAAGGTCCAGGTAAGTACTACATTTCTTGTTTTTCATGTGTATTCTTTATTTATTATTATAAAAGTAACTGAAATGTAAAAATAGGAATCTCTTCAGGCTAGATTAGGTAAAATAAATAATAATAATAAAAAATTTTCACGAAGTGCTCGGAGTAGCTTGTGAGTAATGTAATTTGATAGCATAACATGAGCCCCATGTTCCGCAAGTGATTTACAACTTTATAATGATGCAAATAGTAGTTAGGCCCAGTTCAAAGGGCAATAAAATAATAAAATTTAAGTATAAATAGTTGTATCCTGTTACAAGTTTAAAGCTACTTAGGATAAACAAATGAAATTTCATGCTACAATTTGAAGTTATTACAGAAAGAAAAAAAAAAGTAATTTACATTTATTTCAATTTTTTTTGGCAGTTACGAGGTCAGTCAAATTGACCAGCCTTGTATAAAGTTAGGGTAGAAAAAATAACATATAAAATATAAAGTTTCACTGAAAACAAACATCTGAAATGTATTTAGGAAGTTTTAGAGATTATTCATATGAAATTTGACATTTTTAAGCCAAAGAATAGTATTTTTAATTAGAACATGAAAATCACTTTGCACTCAGACTAGTAATGAAACAAGCTCCATATATTCACAAACAAATCTTTAGTAAAAATATTTCATTAAAAAAAATTTGATCTTTGTGTACAAAAAAACTTGTAATGTTTCCCAAACGTCTACCAAATTTTGTGAAGATACACATACTGTATTAAAAGTTCTAGTATAAATACATAATAAGTGCAAATGTGTGTATACAGACTCAGCATTTTATACCAAGCCCATTGCGAAAGTGTTAATAGAAAATGTATATCATCCATTAACTCTTTCAACCTGGGCTCAGTCCCTGAGACGAACCTCGTCACCATTTTGTGTTTGTTATAGTTTTCATGCTATAACTTTTAAATTAGTAGATTATCAGTAAACATTACAAGGCTTTCATATGCAAAATATTACATTTTTTTTATTAAGTCTTAAGGTTTGTAAAGCAATGCTTTTCTCATCTCTATTTTTTCTTTTTTGCATGTTGCCTATCTATCATGCAAAGTAATTTTCATTTTAAGATTAAAAATAGTTTTATGCATCAGAAAATTTTCAAATTTCAAATGCAAAATCTTTATTATGTCCAGATAGTTATCAAACGTTTCTTAAGAAAAAACTTTAAATTTTATCTGTTATATTCAGTAATTAATCTCTGTACGGGTTTGATAGATTTGACTGATCTTGTAACCACCATAAAAAATTATGAAATAAATATAAATTATGCCTCTTTCATTCTAAAATGAACACACACATTATAACATGCAATCATAATTGTTTAGATTAAATGGCTTAAATCTCATAACATTATACATTTATGTATATATATTTTTTTACGATATTGACCTTTCAGCCATGCCTGGCTAACAATACAAAAGTTACAATGGTGTGGCTCACGTGCACTCATGTTACCTTATCAAATAACATAAAACTGACCTTTGGTCTGTAAAAAGTAACCTGTCTTGGCTGTGTTTTAGTAGACTAATATTTTGTTAAAGTACAGTCACATT